GGTTCTTACACTTCACCAACTTGGTGTCACTCTTGTTACTTGGTTCTGCAGACGTTTTACTGGCTCGACTGATTGGAGATTGAGACAAACATGAAATTGCTGTTTTATTATATAACTTATTTTCTATTGTAAAAAATGAAAGTAAATTTAAATTTGACTTCAATATTTGTAAGGGTTTGTAACTATGTTTTAAATAAACATACATTTTTGTTCATAACTTTAATTTATGAAAGTCAACTAATCACTAAAGTCAACGAATCACGAAATGAACCATAAGTTAAGTCTGCAAAACCCCGAAATGCCCAACTTTGGTAAGATTCAATAATAACCCAACGCCTCCCTCCCTCCCATAACAAAAAGATAATTTGAAATAAAGAACCTCCTAGCAAGAGCAGCATTAGCAGCATCTAACTTAGCCTGTAGTTTATCTAGTTGTACTTGTAAAGTTGAGCTCCTTCTCTGCTCCTTAGATAGAGATAACTCAAAATCTTCCTGTACAGGATAACATGGGTCAGACAGGAAACAGTATTAGGAGAGAAGTATTAAGTAACGGAGATGAATTCTAAATAACTGGAGAGATTATATTATCTTACTTTTGAGGTTTTGAGGAGGGTATCAGAATTACGTTTAGCGCTTGTAAGTGAGGCGTTCTCATCTTCTAACTTCTGGAGCTTCAGTCCATATCGCTCTTCTACTGTTTGCAACTGTGGAGTGAGTTTTTAATTAATTATAATTAAAAATATGTTTCAGAAAATTATGTAATGTAACGCAATGGAAGTTCTTTAAGTGGGCAATTCCAGTCCAAACCCTGGATACATGACATAAAAGATTCGTTTTCACTTGTTTGCATGAAAAGCATTAATAAAGTACTGCAAGTCAATTAAATGAAATGATGTTAATTAATTAAAGATTTTAGAGAAACAAAAATTGTAGAGAAAAGAATAAGTAAAAGTAAAACTTACTTTAGTATGAAGAACTTCATTTTCCCTAATCTTTGATTCTAACTCTTCTAAATGTATACTGTCAACGTCTTTATTGGAAACATCATTCCTACCTTGCTGCTTTCCCTTTCCCTGTTGAATGGTATTCATTACATTTCATTTTCATGAAAATAAATCAGCGCCAACCGATTGACGGTTAACGTCTACTAATATACTGCATCATTGTAATTACAGCTGCCTCCCACCTTACAGCACACACTGTAACTTGTGGTGTGATCTTATAATATGTTATAATATGTTATACTATGTTATAATATGTTATAATATGCTATAGTATGTTATAATACGTTATAATACGTTATAATATGTTAAAATATGTTATAATATGTTATAATATGTTATAATATGTTATAATATGTCATAATATGTTATAATATGTTATAATATATTATACTATGTTATAATATGTTATAATATTACCTTCTTCTTAGCAAGCGTGTCCAGCTGCTGTTGCAAGCTGTCTATTCGGGCTGATAGTTGCTTATTTCTGAATGTAAGACTGTCTACCTGGTAGAATATAGATTTAATCTATCGGAACCCAATCTGGCACATAGTCGTGTATCAAACACTTCTCAGTTAGATAAAAACACAAAATAAACTATAAAAGTGAACTAGTAAACTATACCAAGTATAATGTATAATGTATAATGTATAATGTATAATGTATAATGTATAATCAGGGTTGCCGGCATTTTTGAGAGTCATTTTTAAGGTTTTTTCACGTCTTTTAAGGCCCCTTTTGACCCATTTTTAAGGTCCAAAACAGTTAAATTCAAGGTTTTTTAAGGTCCACAGTGCGAAAGTTTGGACAAACGTAATGCAATAAAGGTGCAAATTTAAGGTTTTTCAAGGTTTTCCGATACGGAAATTGCAATCATATCTAAAGGGGGAAGGTATAATTTCAGAAAACCCCAATTAGATCTACAACAAGCTAGGTATAATTTCAGAAAACCCCAATTAGATCTACAACAAGCTAGGTATAATTTCAGAAAACCCCAATTAGATCTACAACAAGCTAGGTATAATTTCAGAAAAACCCAATTAGATCTACACCGAGCTAGGTATAATTTCAGAAAACCCCAATTAGATCTACAACAAGCTAGGTATAATTTCAGAAAAACCCAATTAGATCTACAACAAGCTAGGTATAATTTCAGAAAAACCCAATTAGATCTACACCGAGCTAGGTATAATTTCAGAAAACCCCAATTAGATCTACAACAAGCTAGGTATAATTTCAGAAAAACCCAATTAGATCTACAACAAGCTAGGTATAATTTCAGAAAAACCCAATTAGATCTACACCGAGCTAGGTATAATTTCAGAAAACCCCAATTAGATCTACAACAAGCTAGGTATAATTTCAGAAAAACCCAATTAGATCTACAACAAGCTAGGTATAATTTCAGAAAAACCCAATTAGATCTACACCGAGCTAGGTATAATTTCAGAAAAACCCAATTAGATCTACAACAAGCTAAGTATAATTTCAGAAAAACCCAATTAGATCTACACGGAGCTAGGTATAATTTCAGAAAATCTCATCAAGTCTACACAGAGCTAGGTATAACTTCAGAATATCCAATCTTATCTACATCAAGCTAGGTATAATTTCAGAAAAACCCAATTAGATCTACACCGAGCTAGGTATAATTTCAGAAAAACCCAATTAGATCTACAACAAGCTAGGTATAATTTCAGAACATCCAATCAGATCTACACCGAGCTAGTTATAATTTTAGAAAATCTTATGAGGTCTACACAGAGCTAGGTATAATTTCAGAATATCCAATCAGATCTACACCGAGCTAGGTATAAATTCAGAAAATCTTATCAGATCTACATCAAGCTAGGTATAAATTCAAAAATTTTTACTAATCCGGAAAATCCATTTAGAACTAACATCAAGCTAGGTATAATTTAGGTATGGAACCTTAAAAAACCTTAAAAACCCGAAAATTTGCCCGTTTTTCACGTCTTTTTTAAGGTTTTTTGCCCAAAATTGCCGTTTTTAAGGTTTTTAAGGTTTTTTAAGGTTTTTAAGGTCCCCCGGCAACCCTGTGTATAATGTATAATATATAATTATAATGTATAATGTATAAGCGGACTTACTTCTTGTTCTAGGGTGCGGATCTTCTGTCCTTTCCCCACATCGTTATCTTTAATGTAGCTGTGTTTTTCTCTTTCGTCTAACAATGCTTTCTTCAGTACCACAACTTGGGCCCGGACCTGGAAACATGCTTCTTTTTGGGATTTTTTTAGGAAACAAACTACATTGGTGAAGAAGACTAAAAATTCATGATTTAGCCTCGAGCATCTATTCAACAAATAATCGTGTGTTGAACACGTAAAAATGCGTTTTTAACTAACCTGAGCATACTGATTAGCAAGCCGCTGATACTTGCTCGCTAAATCCTCACTGTCTCTAGAACACGATGTGATACTGCTGGGAGGGGAGATACTTCTGTTATCCATCAAGCTCAACAAGTGAGTCATCTCACGACAACACAAGTAGTGTGTCGGGGCTGATCATATCACCTCATCTCATGGGCATGTAGTGCACTTAGCTAGGAATATTGTTAACTTAGATAAGAATATATCACCTTATCTACTGCACTTAGCTAGGAATAATGTTAACTTAGATAAGAATACATCACCTTATCTACTGCACTTAGCTAGGAATAATGTTAACTTAGATAAGAATATATCACCTTATCTACTGCACTTAGCTAGGAATAATGTTAACTTAGATAAGAATATATCACCTTATCTACTGCACTTAGCTAGGAATAATGTTAACTTAGATAATAACATATCACCTTATCTACTGCACTTAGCTAGGAATAATGTTAACTTAGATAAGAATATATCACCTTATCTACTGCACTTAGCTAGGATTTAGGAATAATGTTAACTTAGATAAGAATATATCACCTTATCTACTGCACTTAGCTAGGAATAATGTTAACTTAGATAATAACATATCACCTTATCTACTGCACTTAGCTAGGAATAATGTTAACTTAGATAAGAATATATCACCTTATCTACTGCACTTAGCTAGGAATAATGTTAACTTAGATAAGAATATATCACCTTATCAACTGCACTTAGCTAGGAATAATGTTAACTTAGATAAGAATTTATCACCTTATCTAGTGCACTTAGCTAGGAATAATGTTAACTTAGATAAGAATATATCACCTTATCTACTGTACTTAGCTAGAGAGCTAGGAATATTGTTAACTCAGATAAGAATATATCACCTTATCTACTGTACTTAGCTAGGAATAATGTTAACTTAGATAATAATATATCACCTTATCTACTGCACTTAGCTAGGAATAATGTTAACTTAGATAAGAATATATCACCTTATCTACTGTACTTAGCTAGGAATAATGTTAACTTAGATAAGTTCAATACATCACCTTATCTACTGCACTTAGCTAGGAATAATGTTAACTCAGATAATAATATATCACCTTATCTACTGCACTTAGCTAGGAATAATGTTAACTTAGATAATAACATATCACCTTATCTACTGCACTTAGCTAGGAATAATGTTAACTTAGATAAGAATATATCACCTTATCTAGTGCACTTAGCTAGGAATAATGTTAACTTAGATAAGAATATATCACCTTATCTACTGTACTTAGCTAGAGAGCTAGGAATATTGTTAACTCAGATAAGAATACATCACCTTATCTACTGCACTTAGCTAGGATTTAGGAATAATGTTAACTTAGATAATAACATATCACCTTATCTACTGCACTTAGCTAGGAATAATGTTAACTTAGATAAGAATATATCACCTTATCTACTGCACTTAGCTAGGAATAATGTTAACTTAGATAAGAATATATCACCTTATCTACTGCACTTAGCTAGGAATAATGTTAACTTAGATAATAATATATCACCTTATCTACTGCACTTAGCTAGAGAGCTAGGAATATTGTTAACTTAGGTTACGATAAAAGACTGATAATTGTTAAATTGGAAGATTTAATTCGAGTCAGAGTTTTGGTTTGACAATCTTATCCTCTAGATTATAATCAAGAATTTCGATAAAGATCGGACACACTTTTGGTTTTAAAAGTTATAAAATGAAAAACAATATTAAACAAATAGAATATAAATGTTCAAGCAGTTCAATTTTCGATAAATAAAAACCCAGTCATCTTCTAAGGCTGGGTACTGATACTGGTCAATGGGTGTTTTTTATTCTCCAACTATTCACAGAGGTTAAAAGATATCTGCTTGTCAACGATAACAGCATAAAGCTTACGTTTCCCAGCACAAATAAACATATTCAAGTTCAGGCACTCTGATAATCTCACATCTGAAATTGTCCCATGTTTAAAAACCCATTCGACGGGGTGTTCTCGTAGGAGTCTGGTTATGTCCAGGAGTTGCAATAGCACTGCGAGCAGAGGAAGGTGCTGACTGGCGCTCGCGCTCTGCTTCCAGCGCTTCTTCTGCTTCTGCTAATTCCTGTTCCATCTGCTTGCGGCGCTCTGCTGCCTTAGCTTTACCCTCTTCTATTGAGTGCAATGACTCCTTGACACTAGGGACGGTTTGAATTACAATCAGAGTTTTTAATATAATCATTTTGAGAAACAACGTTCTTCTTAGTTAGAGTATAAATTTAGTGTGCTACAAACTATAAATTAACAACGAACCTGTAAAACATGGGGCCAAGCTCAGCGAGCCATTCCGCCTCAACACTGGTAACACACTGCATGAACTCCTTAGAAGTCATGATAAGCTCGTGATACACAACATAGTCAGAGCTGTAGCCCATACCGTAGAGAGCGGAGGTGGGGTGGAGATGACATGGCATTCCAGTTCGGGCGTTTACATATTCTCCGATACCTGGAAATAGAGATATTTCAGAAACAATATAAACGAAATTAAACATTCAATAAATGGGAACCCCAATTTTTTCAATTTTAACCACGAGTAAACTGTAAGGAACTCATACCTTTGAGTCTGGCAGCTTGGTGGAAGTAAGCGCTACAGATGCACTTCCTGACCAGGTCCCACTTGTTACCACACGATACCAGCTCCAGCCTCTGTTTCTCCATAATCTCAAGCAGCTGACTGTGAACCTCCCGTACTTTCTTCATGGCCTGTTTTAGATTATTAGTTGTGAACTCTTCTTAAAATTATATTAAACAAACTATAACCGATGTTTCTTTTAAAATTGTTCAGCAAGGAAGGTCACCTAACCGGAAGTATTGAAGAGTAAAATTTCTCTCTTTCGGGAAATTAAATCGATTGTAAAACAAATTAACAGACATATTAACTAACCTTGTAATGAATAAAGTAAGTATTACACCAAGTTGAAGAGTAACCCTTATTCCTCCACTGCTGGTACACGTGCAGTAAAGACAAGTGATCACTCTCTGGAACCTGAAACTTCTCCCTAGCTGCGTCGCTCTCTTCTTCCCGCCCTTTGGGTCTGTAGAATATAGCGGGGACTGACAACATGCTAACTATTACCAGCACCTGACATAATGGTTCATTATTCATAAATCAAGTGAAACATGAGATAAACAATAAATCTAATGGTTCTGTATTTATACAGAATTATTCGATTATAATCTTTAGCAGTCAGACCCACTACAATGAATATGATAATAATATCCTCTAAAACTTAAAACTACAAACCTCTTCACTACATCCCATCTGACAAGACACTAACACAAGCTTGCTCATAGCCGGGTCCATAGGAAACTCTACCATCTGCCTGCCCAGCACTGAGAGGTTACCCACATTATCAAAGGCTCCCAGCACCCACAACTGGTACATACTGGTCAGGATGTTGTCTTGTGGGGGCGGGTCCATGAAGTGGAAGGAGAGGAGGTCCGACACGCCCAGAGACTTGAGGAGGAGCACAACTGTTGCTAGGTTCGTACGCTGGATCTCTGGTACTGTTGTGGCTAGTAACTGAAAAACCGGGGGAATTTATACAAGTGAAAAAAATTTGCGACCAGTCGCATTCATTGGATAGATATAACGTATATATATATATATCAAAGCGAAAAACGATTATTTTCATAATTATCTAACCTCAGATCGGTAACAGTTCTCAGTGTACATTCTCCAAGCCTGTCCGGGACCTGTTCTGCCAGCTCGGCCACTTCTCTGATTAGCATTAGCCTGCGAGATGGGGTACACCTGCAATGCATCCATACCTGAAAATATAGGGATAAAGATTTCAATTGGATAAATTAATTCACCCGTATCAATTTTGTTTAAATCATTTCAGATCTGGTGTGATCTGTTTTTCATCTAGAAACAGAATTATAATAAAAATTTACCGATTCTGGGGTTGAACACTTTCAGTTTGCAGTATCCACCGTCAATGACGAATATAATTCCGTCCACTGTTAAACTCGTTTCTGCTATATTAGTGGCTACAATAACCTGAAAAATCATGAACAGGTAGAATGCAAAATCGTACAAAAATTAACTGTAATAATATGCTTAATGTTAAAGTTCGATTAATTAGAAGTTGAAGAGAAAATAATGTTACTAACCTTTCTAACCCCATCCGGAGCCTTTTGAAATATTTTAGCCTGAAGGTCAGAAGGAAGCTGTGAGTAGATTGGTAGGATTGCAAGCGGAGGAGAACCTTCAACTTCTTCTAGTCTGTCACCTATTGCTCCACATGTCACCTGAAATGTAGGTAGAATTTAAGGAAACCGAGTATTGATGGTTAAATCATAATTCTAGAATGAACAGATCTGAAGTTCTATTTTATCTGATATTATTTAAAATTGTACCCTCATCATCATGTATTTTAAAACCTACCTCTATCTCTTCTTGCCCAGGCATGAATATCAAAATATCACCAGGAGTAGGCTGAAGATGGATTTGGACTGCCTGCTTCACTGATGCTTCCACATAGTCCTCACATGGATTTTTAGAAAACAGAACATCAACAGGGAAAGTCCTTCCAGCAATCTTATAAATAGGAACATTTCCAAAGAACATCGAAAACTTCTCAGCGTTCATTGTTGCAGAAGTGACAATAAGCTTTAAATCAGTTCTTCTAGCTACCACATCACGAAGCAAGCCAAACAGCACATCAGTATTTAGTGACCTTTCGTGAGCTTCATCCATCACAATGACACTGTAGCCATCTAAATCTGATTCCCTCAGGGACTCTCTGAGAAGAATACCATCCGTCATATACTTGATAATAGTATTCTTTGAGGTACAGTCTTCAAACCTGATAGCATAGCCCACCTCCTCACCAAGTTTACATCCTCTCTCTTCAGACACCCTCTTAGCAACAGACATGGCAGCTACTCTTCTAGGCTGGGTGCAGCCTATCATTCCATAGTCCCCGTAACCGTCCTCTAATAGGTATTGGGTTAGCTGGGTGGTTTTACCAGACCCTGTTTCTCCAACTATGATCATAACACTATTCTCTCTGAGAATACCTAATAGTTCATCTCTACAAGCATAAATAGGAAGGTAGTGTCTTTGTTGTTTTATGGTTTTTGTGGTTGCAAATGAACTAACTGCCTCTGACTTTTCTGCCATATGATCTGAAAACTGCTGATTCTTTTTGTGGGAATCTTCCTCTTCTTTAACAGGTTCATCCTCTTCCTTTTGTTTGATACCAAGTATGTCACCAATTTTAGTGCCAGCTAGTTCCCATTCTTTTTTCTGGGCTTTAATTCTCTCCTTCTGCTCTCTGTAATCTTTGACCAATTGACTTCCCTTGCGAGACAGAACTGCTATATCAGAGGTGGGATCCTTTACTGGGACAACAGGTTCAGGCTGCTTGGTGTACATTATTCTTCCATCAAGAAATGGAGCCATGATATTATGGACAAGTAGATGAATCTTAGCTGCACCATCCTCTTCAAAATCGTCATTATGATCAACCTTAGTAACAACACCAGAAGTGAGCATCCTGTTTTGCTCCCATTTTTCCAAATCTGCATTTTTCTGCTGTCTCCAAGCTGAAACCTTTCTCTGGAAGGTTTTGGTGGCTTCTTGTGTCTTCTTTTCTTCGTATTCCTGACTAACACCAGCGAATGGATTCAGATTGTCATCGTACCCTTCATCCATACCATACCAAGCTCTGTCCAATCTCTTTTGCTCGTCTTCATACTGCTTACCATCAGTAAAATTTACAGCACTTCTTACTGAATTTGAAGTGTTATCCTTTCTACTTCTTTTAGAAGCCCATGCATTATCTTTGAAAGAAGGTGTTGGCATAGGGGACCTTTCCCACCAGCGATTTGCCTTTGAACTTCTTGATGATTCAGTCATATCCCATTTGTCTAAATTAGGTGTACCTAGTTCAGAGTCAGCTTCCCATTTAGAGCGACCGGGAGTATGAATAGAACCATCAGACCTTGTTGGTGTGTCATCATATTGTGCCCTGTTTCTCCGTGATGATGAATTTGACCGATCTGATTTGCTTCCTCCTGAGTATTTAGAAGAATATCCACTATCTTTGTCAGATGAACTTCTGTCTCTCTCAGAACGAGGTGATGACCGTGGTGATGACCTTGGTGATGACTTAGGTCTTCTGTCTTTATCACTACTTCTGTCTTTATCGCTAATTCTATCTCTATCTCTATCTCTGTCTCTATGCTTATGTTTTTTATTTCTGTGACTGTCTACATCCTTGATAGTCGAATTAGATATACCTTTATCTCTATCTCTATCTCTGGTTTTCTTCATACGATCCAAAGCAGATTTGCTGACACCTCCAGGATGAGAGGGAGAATCGTCTGTGACATTACGATATTTTCTTTTAATATCATCACTCTTTTGTTGTTGCTTAGCAAGTTTATCCAGTCCTAACAGGGACTTTTGAGGAACTTTAAATACATGTTCACTTTTAGGCTTTACTATGAGACCTCCTATATCATTATTCTGACTTCCTTCTAAAACACTGCTGGAATCAAAACCTGAGAAGCTAAGTAGATTGCTCATTCCTTTTGGGAATTAGTAGACTGATAGGTGTTTTATTCATGTCATCATTGACCTGGAATGCAGATATTTTATTGAGATTAATATCACGTAACCATTTTTTTTACACTTGTAATTGTGGGTATATTGTATCACAAATGAGTGGATAAATCCAAAACCATAAAATTCTCTGCCAAGAAAACAACAATTTGCAGTATGTAAAACAAAGTTATCAGTGAGTATTATTAACAAATATCATTTAATTATAGATTACGGGGACGAAATGAGAGTTTCCACTCACTGAAAAAACGAAATACATCATGTATTGTCAACGTTTCGGCTACATTCCTTTGTCATAGACGAAAATCCGGAAATTAACACACAGTTATCTGAGCCTATAAGTAATGGAGACTAAATTAAATATACTTGTAAATTAATGTAAGGAACTTTTCTTTATGAAGTCGATCTAGCTAGTTAAATTATGTGGAGAATATGTGAAACGGAATAAATTAGTTGAAATAAAGTAACGAGTTCCATCGTCAACAAAATACTTTATACACTTAATATGTAGGGATTTTTAAATCCTATGTCAGTTAATGAATATATTAAGTAATTAAAGATGGACCAATTGAGTACAAAAATATTTGATATGAGGAGTGTCAGATTACGACTTAAGTTTGTCATGTGTATCTAGGAGACCTTATCAATCAAGGAAAAAGAAATTAACATGGTAAGAAGGCAAATTTAAAAACCGCAAAGTATTTAAATACACGACAAAGGCGTTTTTATGTAAAACAGCAACATTCATTAAATTCAAACGGTTCTTTCGGATCGCAAATGAAATTTGATGAAATCTACTTAAGTGCCGACCTGCGAAGGATTGACATCATCAATTAATACATATTACAGTGACAACTCAGTAAACCACTCATTAATATGCAAAAGGGGTGGATATGTATCTCTTCGCCACAACTCATTGAGGGATGTGATAGCAGAGCTATTAGAAACTGCTGGCTGTAAAGATGTTACCACTGAACCTCTCCTCATTCCTGTCAACGGGAGAGAACTTCCTGCAGGGGCCAACAAAGCAGATGGAGCTAGATTAGATGTTAGTGCTAGGAGTGTATGGAACCCATTGGAAAGGGCATTTTTAGATGTAAGAGTATTTCATGCTCAAGCTCCTTCCAATAAGGCTCTTGGATCTCCAACCACTATGTACAATACTCACGAGAGACAGAAAAAGAATTTATACAATAAAAGGATTGTAGAAGTGGAACATGGGACGTTTACACCGATAGTCCTATCAACCACTGGGGGTATGGGGAGGGAAGCTAATAAGTTCTTCAAGAAATTAGCGGATAAACTTTCTAGGAAATCAGGCCAACGGTATAGTGAGGCAATGACATTTATTAGGAAGAGAGTAAGATTTGACCTATTGAGAACAACAGTCATAGCTCTTAGAGGAGAGAGAGGGTTAAAAAGTAGTAGTGCATTAAAATAGCAGAATTAGATATAAATTTGGTGCCAGTTCTTTAAACTGGCTTACTTATACTACTTAAAGGGTGTTTATAAATTTTATTTAGTGTTCTGTTGAATTTATAATGAATTTTTATATAGGGTAATTATTATATTTATTTAATTATGTTAAACAATTCGTTAATCATTATTGGTTGTATAAATAGTTGATTCACGATTTCAATCCTTCGCAGCTCGGCGAGGCCCAGTGCACAGTGGTGCATTTGAAGAAAAGTGTGTCAAACAGTATATATACATTCAATTAAATCAAGTGATGCGATTGGCAGAGCACAATCAAATTTTAAGTGTTGCAATTGGCAGAGCACAATTCATTGCATGCTACCAATAATTTGGTGCATTTTGCCGATCTAACGTTATCAGAGATGGTTGTTAAAATTCATTATTGGAAGCGCGGCGCGGCCTACCAGTAATACATTTATCGAGCTACAGCATACAGTATAAATATCAATTAAATTTCGGTACCAATCATGCAGTTATAATTAAATGTGAACTCCGCTTAGTCAGTAGTACGACATTAAAAATAGTAACCGCTCCAAATTGCAATACCAAATAATTTGTAAAATCTACTGCTATATTCCTTGTATCACGTGGTGACCCCACTGTCGCTTCACTATAGTCAATAGTATGTATCGTCTTCGACGATACAGGGGGAGCCGCGCACTTCGTGCGCGGCGGGTCATACAACGTATGACAATACATTCCTTGACCAAAAATTAACTGTTGCCTTCTAATTCAACCGGGAAAACTTTAATTGACGATGTCAACCTTTCCAGATTGTTGCTCTGCGAATTAACAAAGCAACGATCTTAGATGCGAAGTAAGAATGATAGTTTGCGCGGCGCGTCGAAGTCCTTCAAGGAAAACTCAATACAATGCTATCACCCGACATGGTAGATGTTGACATACGTTGCATGCCACTTTTCGCGCGCGAAGCGCGCGCCGCCGTAGGCGGTATTGATATTTGGATACGAAACATGTGTCAAGGTAGATGAATGCGATGCTAAATTTTGCACCGATATAGCTGCATCTTAATAAAAGCAGAAACTATGGAGCGTTTCGAATTAATACGTACAGTACATCGTACCATGCATTGATTGACGATGTCAATCCGTCGAGATCGATGCGAAGCAAGAATGCTAGTTCGCGCGGCGCAGTCCTCCAATACCATGCATTGATCGTACAATTTTGGATCCAAATCGATCAACACAAACTGCGCTTAGGTGCCGCGCGGTTGGCTACTCGAAGAGTTTTGGCGCGAACCTGTACAAGATAATACGGTATGTCGTAGGCCGCCGCTCATCCAGAAGACGTTTCCCTGAATTTTGTAGTGGATTTTGTAGTGGATTTTGCGCGCCGCACGTACTTAACAATATTTATCATTGTAGAATCTACGAGTCGTAGAGTCGTAGTACGACGGTAGCAGTCAGAAGTCTCAATAAACTGCTCGTACTTATACTTTTAAAGACACTTATAAGATATGAAAATCTAAGTAACACATCCACCCCACTCAGGCCGCCCATCCCAAATAGCTTGAAATCTGTGACAAATCCCTAAAAATCCAGAATGAGAATCTTTACCCCTGGGCCCTGAAGGGGATTTGTGTTGCTGAGTATTTGAAATATGTTTGGTGGTTAAATAGGTAGTACATATCCCTAACGATCACAAAGACCAAGTTTTAAGCTCTTGAACCACTCAAGCCACTCACAGAGTTGGCCAATCCAAAAATGACTGAAATCCTGGTAAAATCCAGATCGAGAATCTTTACCCCTGTAGTGCTTTTATGTTCCGGGGTAGGTGGGACATGTTTTAGTTTTAAAATGGGTTCTACCTGTCCCAAACCATCATAAAAATCAAGTTTCGACCTCTCAACCCACTCAGGCCACTCCCAGGGGCCACGCCCATCCCAAAATTACCGAAATCCAGCTAAAATCCAGACTTTAAAATCTTTACCCCTGTAGTGCTTTTATGTTCCGGGGTAGGTGGGACATGTTTTAGTTTAAAAATGGGTTCTACCTGTCCCAAACCATCATAAAAATCAAGTTTCGACCTCTCAACCCACTCAGGCCACTCCCAGGGGCCACGCCCATCCCAAAATTACCGAAATCCAGCTAAAATCCAGACTTTAAAATCTTTACCCCTGTAGTGCTTTTATGTTCCGGGGTAGGTGGGACATATTTTAGTTTAAAAATGGGTTCTACCTGTCCCAAACCATCATAAAAATCAAGTTTCGACCTCTCAACCCACTCAGGCCACTCCCAGGGGCCACGCCCATCCCAAAATTACCGAAATCCTGCTAAAATCCAGACTTTAAAATCTTTACCCCTGTAGTGCTTTTATGTTCCGGGGTAGGTGAGACATGTTTTAGTTTAAAAATGGGTTCTACCTGTCCCAAACCATCATAAAAATCAAGTTTCGACCTCTCAACCCACTCAGGCCACTCCCAGGGGCCACGCCCATCCCAAAATTACCGAAATCCAGCTAAAATCCAGACTTTAAAATCTTTACCCCTGTAGTGCTTTTATGTTCCGGGGTAGGTGGGACATATTTTAGTTTAAATGGTTGTTTTGAGTGTCGATCCAAACCAAAACATAGGGCCATGTTAAACGAGGCGTGGTAGCTGTGAACGTTAAATCAGGGGTTACACAAGACATGTCGGACTTATCGTGAGCGTGTAGACCGCCCTCTTATCGGTATTTTGAGGTACCGATCTAATTACTAAACCAAATCCTGGGTACCACGAAGACGTGGAGCCTGTGGAGTGGTTAGATTGTTAAGTGTTCTAAGAGTCCTTGGGCTTACACAAGAGTGGTAGCATGTGAGCACGTTAAATCCTAAGGGTTACACGGACTTGGTAGCCTGTGAGCGTGTAGAGCGCTCCTCTATCGTTGAGCCATTCATCCCAGGTTTGGTGAGGTGTTTGGGGGGGCATGTTATACACTTAATTATGGAAGAACTACCACTTGGTGATTAAGAATTGTACAACATTGGAATCTTTTTAAGTGTATCTGAAAAACATGCTAATAATATCGTATATTAAATTTTACAATCCTAGTTTTCCTAATGTTTTACTGGGGTAAATGCATTATAAAATATCGTTTATTTAGTGTTCAAGTCTAATCACCCTTATCTGGTTTAGGAATATAATTTCTGGGTTGCTTTTTCGGGTTTTAATTGTATCCTAAACTGTTTTCGTTGCCACACTTGTGCCTTTTAAGTTGTTGTGCCACTAATATAAAAGTTTAAGTTATTATTTTATTATTCCTTATCAATGATTAAAAGTTATTGTGTACGCTATTAAATATCCAAATATTTTGGAAGGGTACCATCAAAATCACGGGTAAGGTCCTTCCTCATTTTAACATTGAATCACGGATTATTTTTATAATTTGGCTGTGTAGACCTGGACACATTGCATAATGAATCCCTACCAGGTGAAGGTAATAATGAAATTGTTTCCACAGATAATATGCACCTAGTGATTACCCTAACTTTTACCCTGGCCTGTCGACCAGCCATTGGTTATTAGATGTAGCATGTATAAAAATATTACCATGATTATGATATTAAAGTAGGATTTGGA